GCTTTTTGTTTTTATGAATATCTCAAAAACAAAAAATCTGAAGAAACCCACTTTTTCCTAGAACAGCCCCCATATATTCTTGAATTCCATCAAATATAATCGGCAAAGAATCAGGATCTTGATCTATTGGGCTTATTAGTGTAATACTTTAACCATATTTAGTATTTTATTAATGGCCCAAAATCCATCAGTTCTCAATGGACCAGTCAATTTGCCAACCTTGCTATTAAACATTTCTTCAAGCTTGGAATAATTTCATTTTCAATACGAGAAACACATTTGTTATAAGCATTCTCAGCATGCATCAAAATTTCTGTACTCGTAAGTGAAACATCCAACACATTAACATCTTTGACATTTTCATAATTATTCATTAAGCGGAAAATCTTTCATAAGTATATTGTACCTGTGCTGTGAGCTAAAATAATAATAATAATGTATATTAATTAATTAAAAAGAGAATATCTTGGAAACGATTATTAACAATTTTTAGAGAAAAAATAAAGGATGATAATAATAACCTGTTTCAATGGCTTTTTTCAAGCCAGTATCAGCCATAAAAGATATAGTTGCATGAAATCTTTTTCCAGATCTTAAAATATCCAAGGTCAATACACTATAATTACATTTAATTAATTAATTAATTAATTTGATATTATTTTTATATCATCACGCAATATTTTAATTATCATACCAATTTGATCATTTTCCAAATTGTTATTGATACCATCCAAAGTAAGAACACTGGCTGCAATTTTTGATGATGGTTGCAATCACCTTTATGACCATTTTGTTTCCTTTTTTGGTTTACGACATGGAACACTAATCCAAAGCAGCTTCCATAACCAAAAGTTTAATTTCTTGTGCGGCAGTTTCACTAGAGTGATCGCGTGTTAGCTTAGTGACTTTCTGAATTTCTTTCACCCAATCATTTACACCTGCTTGAAGTTTGGGTCTATTTATACTTGCCACCCAAATCCCAAAGCTGTCCCAAACCCTAAACCCCAAATGTCCAAATGGTCCCAAATGGTCCCAAATAATAAAAAAAAAATTTTTTTTTAATAATAAAGGAAAAATTTTAATGAAAGCTTTTCGTGTTGAATTACATTTATAATTAATAATAAATAGTGATAAATTTATATTTATATTGAAATTTGGTAAAGATTTTTTTCATTTAACATTTATTATTTGTTGAATTACACCTATTGTAATTTTATTACAAATATTTAGTTACAATCACTAATGATTATGTCATATTCATCAAATTCCGACCTAACAAAGTATTTGTTATATATATTATCACTAACTTGATTCATTGGAATATATTTTATTTATTCAGGTACACAGGGAAACACAGAACCAAGTATACATTTATAATTTAATTATGTAATTATCCTTATATATATACTTATTTATATAGCAAATGCTATAATTAATGATGATGTAATGTTTCAAAGTGATGATAATGGTGATAATTTAGTTGATGATCCTGATGATAGTGATGAATGTTTGGACATGTGAGGAAAATACTTCACATTTATACATAGAAAATTTCATTGACTTACACTACCTGGACAAAAGTATAGGGACGCCTGCAGATCATCACAAATAATTGAATAAAGTGACATGACAAAAACTAAAAATTTTACTATCCCAATCACACTTGCT